GAGCTGGCCACACTGTACACAGAACTGAGCTGCTTCAGAAACCAGAATGAACAAGAGCTGGGGTGCACAGTTTTCCTGAGGCGCTACTTTTTTCTGCTGGAACAAGAGCGCGTGAGAAGAATGTGTCTGCTGTGCCATCAGGAGCAGCCCGAGATAATGAGCTCCTTCACTGAGGCAATGCTAGGTCAGACAATTATCCTTGAAAACTTACATGTATGTGTGTTTTCAGAGTTCACAAATCGACAAACAGACAATTTTAAAAATTAAAACATTAAAATAGAAGAAAAATATGCAGAAAATAAAGCTGAATATGTTTAATTTTGGTTAGGAAATTAAATGCATGTACTCTGCAATAATCCTATATATAACAAAAGACTAAAAACTAGTCAGAACTTTGATAAAATAATGATATACATATATTGCTCATTGATTCTTGGTGGTTTCATCTTCGTCAAATATCATGCTTGTATCTGTAGAGCTCACCCAGTCTAGCAAGGTGGTGGAAGTTTTTCAGAGAGGTGATTTGCAGAAATCTTTGAGAAGTCTGAGAGAGCTGCAGCCCTGGAGTCCAGCTCATCTCCTCGCTCACTTTCACAGGTCGGCATCCTTTTTTGATAAATCACATATTTAAAGGTCCCTTCTTTAATGTTTGACCTTCAAAATGAAACGCAAAGTCTTGTATTGTGTGATGTGACAGTAAAAGTGATTTGATTTTGATTTGATTTGTGATTTTAAACTATAGAAATAGAAAAGTGGTGTTAGAAAACGTAACACAAAAGGGCTATGTTATTTTCCAGACTGTATGAGAAGCACGGTGAGGCTGCTGTACGCTCCTTTTCCCAGTTCTATCCTACCATAACTCCTGCTGATGTAATGACCATGGCAAAAAAAAGCCATTTCCTGGCATATCTGGATAATCTGGTACAATCACAAACTGAGGAGCACAGGTACGTCTTCAGCTGAACCTTTTTGTTCAATTAAATAAAACACCAAGCTCATGTTGTAGAAGCAGAATTTCACACTTATTTCTTCTTCTTTTTTGAGGCTGTCATTTTTGCAGTCCCTCCTTGATCCAGAATCGCTGAGACAGGATTGGCTGGAGCTGGCACTTACCCATGATGCCCCACAGTGCTGTGATACCCTGACCCCTGATGGACAGCCAAGGTAAGTTAGCACATTTTGGTCTTTATCCTTCAACTGGCAGAGTGAGATTGTTTATGAGCCCAGCCTTACATTTCCATGTGCCATTATGATACAGGAACTGGCTCAATGATGCCACAAAGATAACGGAAGGTTGTGTGTGAGTTTTCTCTCATTTTGACAGTTACTGTTTCTGTAACTGTCTGTTTGCTTCCAAAAAGCCAGACTTTCTTGTATTTTTTTAAAATGCTCTTGAACAATAGTTCTTTAGCTTTCTGTAGGTCTTGTCATAATTTGGGTCTGCATTTCAGATGTAGATGTTGAGGGATCTTGTCAACATTGATGGAAATATGATTTTTTTCTGTAAAATCTGTAAAGTCTTATTGGCCACAGTTTCATTTTTCAAACACACGGTTAATGCAATAAAAGCACCTGGATAGAAAGCACACAAATAATGTATGACGAAACCTGGAGAGCTACTCCTCACGACATCTTAAAGAAATTAAGAAATTACGTTTCTTTAAGACTCATAAGAATGATAGAAAAAAACCAAAAAATTACAGGAGAACATTTTAGAATGTGTCTCACTAATAAAGGTGACAGTGTAGAAGTGACTAAAGTGACTAAAAACTTTCAGGCATGTAAAAAAGTGTTCCTGTATCACTAATTTTAGTCACTAAAGCAGATAATATGTTTGTTTGTTTTTTTTATAAGTACTATTATTTAACCTGTAAGGCCCAGTAGACTAGCTGAACATGATGAAAACGAACCATAGCTGGATAGATCCAAACATAGCCGTTTCTACTGGAATCTATTTAAGTAAGATACTGACGTGAGAACGAGGAACAATAATAAATATCACTAACTAAATGTGTTTCCCGCTGCAGGTGGCATTCACATTGTTTCGCTTGGGGCTATGGACGCCTTCTGTCGCTGCTGATTCGCCTTCCCGCAGACTTTTCCTCAAAGCAGAAGATGTTACAGACTTGTCGAAGTCACGGGTATAATTAGTAATTAGTTGCCTACCTTAAAAAACAAAACAAAACAGGATGTATGTGGTATAACCCTTTGTGTAACGTGTGTGTGAAGGTACTGGACGGGCTACCTCTACCTCTGCAATGAGCTCCAACTTCGCACAGAGGCTTTCACCGCCATCTGTCAGCTGGATGACATCACCCTGCTGGATGAATCTGATGGTAAGACGAAGTCTTTAAACCACCGTCTCTCAGATAGGAACAATTAAATTTGGGAAATCTTCACTGGATGATGAGATTTAATTACAGTAAACACGTCAGGGGTTGCTTTTTTTAATACAAGACCAGTGCTGCATCTTTAAACTCATTACAAGAAATACAAAGATACAGTACGTCTAACTATCCATTAATAAGTAAGTAAGAGTGAGGACAGTTAAAGTAAATGCAAAACCTGTGATCAGCTGTTCTTGTGCGATGAGCAGGTAATACGTCTAAATTAATCATTACCATGTAATAAAGATGGTCTCGATAATCTTCTTAAACTCCAACTGTGGAGCAGGAGTTATGAAATACAGACTTTACTGACCGACTCATTTAAACTGAGTAACTCAAGTCGATTCATTTCACTTGGTTTCAAATCACAACAACGTTGACCTCAAGAGATTTATAATGTAAGGTAAAGACCCTACGATAATAGAGAGAAAACAACCCCCTATGAGCAAGCACTCCCATTCTACTGTTAAATATCCTGAGAGCCAGAAGTAAGCCCGTAGTCTGAGAGCAAAGTACTCTGTTGGGGTTATGCGGTACTATAAGGTCTTTAAGATAAGATAGTGCCTGATTATTCAGAGCTTGGATGTGAGGAGAAGAATTTTTAATTTGATTTAGAGTTTAACAGGGAGCCAATAAAGATAAGCCAATGCGGGAGAAATATGTTCTCTCTTTCTAATTCGTGTCAGCTCCCTCGCTGCAGCCTTCTCCTTTTATTTAATGCTGTGGTGGAGGACGGAGGGCAGCCTTGGAAATGTTTGACTTCACAGGTTTTCTGAGTGAAGAAATTCAGGAATGCCTTTAACACTTGCGCGGACCAATTCCTTGGAACTGTATCCTGTTACTTGGCTAGTTCATTTAGTTATTATTGAGACCGTAAAATGGCCACGTTTGTAAACCTAAAAAAGCACTAACGTGTGTTCCTTCTCTTCTTTATTTGCCAGGTGTTAGGCCCCAGACCGTGGACGAGTGGAAGCTCTTGATCCAGCTGTCTCAGCAGTGCAGCAGCACGGTCAACTCGGAGCAGGTCGCAGGTGCGAACGGGAGCGACTGGTCCAATGGCTCAGCAGACTGCAGAGGAAAGATCAGCCCGGAGAGCCTGACTCTCATGCTGGCTAGGACTGTTGGGCCTGACCAAGCTCTGACCATCCTGGAGGACTGTGGTGTTCAACTGGTCCTTTCACCCCACTCCAAACTGGTCTGTGAGGTGCTGAGAGTCGCTGAGAAGAGGCAAAGGTGGGTCAGGCTATCAAATGTTTAGAATCTCAAAACAACAGGATAGACTATTCATGTATTGTTAGATGCAGAAAACGGTAAAAAATTGGGGTCTCCTGCAGTTCCTGGCTGATGTGAGGAAGTAACGTTCACAGAAACAAACCTGCAACATGTTTGGATGTTTGCATAACAAACTGCTGACACTGATTTATTTCCTTGTTCATTAAAACACGTAGTCGAGCGAATTAGTAGTGGTAATTGTTGTAGTTTGCACTTTTACACACACTGAACTTGAGTTAGTTGTTAGTTCGCAGAATCTTGTGTGACTAAGATTCCCAAATGGGACTAAATGTAGTTCACAGCTCAACAGCAGGCTGCAAACAAACTGACCCTATACTGACTACATTTCATGTCAAATTTGTTTGTACGGTCATTAAACCAGAGGCACTCTGAGAGCACAATCCTCCATCAAGACAGCTCACTCGCTGGGCTGTTTACTTTTAAGGGAACATTATTATATTTTGCATATATCATTTTGTTCTTTTTACATGTTCTATAAGATGTTTGTAATGCAGCAGAAATCAGATACGTTTATAAAATATACATTTTATATTTATATTTTTATATTTTATATTTATTAACATTGATCAGACTTCATCTGAGCAAACTGTAAGTTGGGTAAATGAAGGAGACTGAAATGTCTCCCATCCTATTTTTAAGCTGTGATGCACATTGACACACGTTCACATTGCTCTGTCCACTGGATTAAAATACAGGCTTTGCTTTTTAAAAGTCAGCTCAGGTTAAAGATTTCTTAGTCATGAAAAAAACTATTAAGAAGTATTTTATTTTTCAGGGCCATGATCCAGACGATGCTCGAGCGGTGCGATCGGTTCTTGTGGTCTCAGCACGCCTGACTCCAGATCTGAAACCAAACAACATACAGCTAACACTTACAAGTCTTCCCACTAACTGCTGTTAAAACTGTGACTTAATTTATTCACTGTGATATCTGTCAAAGTCCCCGAGTTTAGATGAAGTTATTTATCTCAGAGTGAAAACAGTATTATGTGTCTTCATTGTGTGTACTTGCAAATTTCTGTGAATACTCACGCGTGTGTGCCTGCAATGTGTGAGTTTTTTTAATTAGTAGTTCTGGTTACTGCTTTTTGCATGTTTCATGCGACCAAATGAATCAATACATTTTTCTGCTTTGGCAAAAATAAACTGACCAAACTAACTGAGTAAAATAATGTGAATAAAAGCCATCTGCATCAAAGCTCTTAATGCTTTCATTGTTTGTTTTTAAGGTTTCATTTATCGTGCTAGCGATCCTTGTTACTGTATTTTTCCCTTGTGAATCTGTGCCAGATAGACAAATCCAGAAAGCTCCAAACACAAAGGTGGCTTTAATCCAACCTGCAGACCTCAAAACCAGGTGATGGTGAGAAATGCTTTATCCCATATTTGGGATTTTTTTTTTTTGTTACAGCAGAGTAAATCATAATGAAATAATTATAATAACAATAACATTTAGTCAATGTGGACATCCAGGTCACATCAACATCCTGCCATAAAGCTGTTCTTTCTCTATCTCTAGTCTTATTCACATTCACCAGGACATAATGTCTCCCAGCCCACATCCACAGAGTCATAAGTACATAAAGCTTCACTCTTACCTTTCACTTTGAAAAACAAATACCTAAATTACAAGAAAAAACAAACTGACTATCCAACCATATAGTGAAGTGAAAAAGAAATACCCTGTTTCAGTTCTAAGGTGTTACATATAGGGACATCATAAAATGAATCTGGTCCTTAGCAGCTCTTAAATTATTAAAATGCAAACCCAGATGAATAATATAGATGTTATAACACCACGTCATTATTTTTTTACTAAAACTGGTAGCAGCTTCTCCGATCTCTCTCTCTCAGCAAGTGTGATGACCTTTATAAAAGCAGAAATTTTGTCTATTTGCAGGAGCATATGGGTGCACGTTAAAGATCACAGAGAAGGAGCTGTTGCTGTCATCAGTCTGGGGAGGCTTAGAAGGCAATATCTCCAAAAAGCTCATCATTCTGAATGTGAAAGATTATTTATCCATGGAAAACAATTAACATTCATGACATGTCAGCTGTCCTAGCAAACTGTCCCTAAGCTCAGTCCATGCTCAGAGAAACTGCACATTGCAGGCATTGAGTCAACCATGAACTCCTTTGTATACAAAATCTTGTGCTGTGACCTCAAGAGAGCAGAGCATAACTGAATGCCCACAAACCTCAAAGAACTGAAGCAACACTGTAACAAAGACTTGGCTCAATAATATGAAACTGATAGTTATATAGAAAATAAATAATAGTAATAATAATTACTTCAAGTTATTGATGCTAAAGGTGTTTTAGCATCAATAACATAGTTTTAAGACCTGCTAAGGACCAGGTGGCTTTTTTTTACTATCAGAAATGATCACCTGAAATAATCCACTTGACCAGAACTCATTATATACAAGTGAGGAAATGTGGGTCAACTGACACTTGATCTACCTGTATGCCAAATATTTGGTTGTACCTTTGTGGATACATCGACTCTTCTCTGGAGCACATGGAGTAGACGGTGGGTCAACAGAGATAATATTAATAACAGCGTAATGAAATGGGACTGGTGAATCATTTGATGATATCACACACCTGGAACATCAAAGGGGGGGAAAGCAAGCATACATTTGAGTTGTTAAGCCTCACAGTGGACAGAAACACTCTGAAATCTTTCTGTCTCATCCTTGTGCTCGGTTCATGGTCATTTCCCAGAATCCCCGCTTCTAGCTCACCCACCTGTCTGTGTCACTGGCACAGGGACCATCAGATTGAAATGTTTGGCATGTGTTGAAGACACAGACACCCTTTTAATTAAAAAAAAAATAATCCCCAAATACTAAGCTTAGCTTCTCATTGTGAAGTCTAACTGCTTTTTTTAAACAAATCTGCCACTAAAGTAACTTTGACATCTAATATTTCAGCCGCCTCTTTGTTTGGTTGAGTGCTCTACTACAGCAAAGACATACTCTCTCTGCTCTGCTGAGGGATGGGTAGGATTATTTATTTGTAACGCTGATTTGACAGAGGCTTTTCATCGAGGGCGAGAGCACAGACGTAAATTTGATTTGAGAGGTTATTAGGTCGAGGCTGCGAGTCCTGCGTTTGATGTTGCCTTTCTGTCACCATGAAGGACAGATAAGGGGATTCTGCACATACCTGTTGGCCCTGCTCACAGTGTATACATAGCACCCTTGACACTTGGAGCCAAACACACACCTACACTTGCTTGCACTCAAGATGAGTCGGAGCGAACGCAGCGGTAAGATCCTCCGATTCCTTCTCTGAACCTGAAGCGATCCTTCTTTGCTCACACTGAAAAGTTTTCAGAATCACAATGAATACAGCACTTGTGGTGAGTTTCTGCTTTAATGTACAATTTAAAGTTTATGCAGAAATTTTGACCTTTTTTTTCAAGATTTGAAGGTTAATGTGGTTTCATTTCAGGTGTCTGCATCTCTTTTTCAACTGGTTCTTGTCCTGCTCTTAATCCCTGGTCATGCTTCACTGACCAAAGTGAAGCACGGCAACACCTCAGGTAGGATTTCTGATAATTGCTGAAAGGAGAAGGTGCTTTGGAGCCTTTCTAACTGCTCTGCTCTGTTATGGTCTCAGGAGTGGTGTATCTGGGATCTGCGTTTGTTGATGAGGCTCTTCAGAGGGCGATTGAGCTGACTGATGCTGCTTACACCCACACGAGTGAAAGGTAGAAATTCTTTATTCTGGTCTAAAATATATCTGGAAATATCTCAAACCAGGCTGACACATAGAAGAAAATAAATCTTTTTACATCTGCGAGGGACTGAATACACAGTTCTGAATGTTTCCAGGGTGAAGACGTCACTGTCTGAAGGCGCTCTGAGACCCAGTGACCTGCTGGCTCAGTTCAAACAGATTGAAAGCACAACCAGGACCCAGATCCGGGCTGCTGAACTGCTGGACAACACAGTGGAGCTGATCAGAGAGATGGTCTACACTAACACCATGATGCAGCCCAACGCTTACGGTACTGAACAGCAGCAGAACACCACGTAAACCTGCGGGCCATTTAATCTGATGAATGATTAAACAAGCTTTATTCTCCATCATATTTTTAGTTTGTTTCAGGATATAATATAACACAGCTAATTTATCTCTTCTATAACTCTTTGTTTTATGTGCTTTATTTAACCAAGTATGGGTGTTTTTGGTATTAAAAAATCTCTTGTTTAGGAGGACAGAAGATATTTTTACAATGATGACTACAAACAATACAGTTTACATATTGTGCCAGAAAATATTAGTCAGCGTAAGTTGACTCATGGAGGCTACTGAAGCATAATCAAGCTCAGCAAAACCAAATTCCAGAAGTAAATTTGGATCATTTGGATCATTTGTATTTGCTTTTGACAGGAAAGGACACAACAATTGATCTGATCTTTCTCATATATATTTCTTTATGTTTCAGTGTTACTAACTTGGACCTTGTTGTGCTTACCGTGCTCCCTCAGAAATGCTGAGTGAAGAAGATACGGAGAATCTGCTGCATGTGACGGGCTGCTCCGCTGAACTGCAGACGCCCAGCTGTCAGACAGACTGTCTCTCTGAGCGCTACAGATCCGTCACAGGCGAGTGCAACAACAGGTCAGAGCATGTATAAAAATCAGCATTTGACAGGCTGGCGCTGTGCCCAACAGAGATCGTTGTTTTCAGGTAACCATCTCTCTGTGTTCTGCTGCTGTACAGACAACATCCGAGATGGGGGGCTGCTAATATCCCATATTCCCGTTGGTTGGCTCCAGAGTATGAGGATGTATGGGGGATGCCCAGAGGGTGGGAACCAAAACACACCTATCACAATGCCAGCCTGCCTCCAGTAAGAGTCCTGCAGCAGCTCTCGGTCGTCTTCTGTCCTGCCAGCTGCTGTAAGCCCATCACTCCTCCTCCTCATCTCGTATGTTCCAGGTGCGGCTGGTGTCACAGGAAGTGCTGTTCACTCACAATGACAACATCTCTGTGGACTCCACTCTGTCCCACTTGCTGGTGGACTGGGGTCAGTGGATAGACCACGATCTGGTGCTGACGCCTCAGAGTCCCAGTACGGCTGCCTTTAAGACTGGAGCTGACTGCACCCACACCTGCAACCGAGACTCACCCTGCTTTCCCATCCAGGTGCATTTCACCAGCTCTCTTGGAAGGCTCTAATTTATGTTGTATTTTTTATAATTTTCCTTCACATGCTAAATGCTAAACCCGTAACCTGCACAGTTTCTGTATATTTACTGTATATCAGATTATCTCTTACCATTAGCACCAAACACAGGTTCGGTAACACTGTCAATGGTTTAAATAGAAAATATAAACCAGGAAATACTCTCTCATTACACCCAATTAGAAGATTTCTCATTGGCTGTTGTACGTAAAGTTCTGTGAAAAGAAAGTTCACTTGAGTCTAAGGAGCTTGGAAAGAAAAGTGTCTGGACTTCGTTAAGTGGCTTGAAGACGTTTCACCTCTCATCTGAGAAGTTTTCTTTCCAAGCTCCTTAGAATACGATGACCTGGATGACTGAGAACCTTCACAGACAAAGTTCAGTTGACTGTTTTCATAGGAATTAAGAGCATAAGTAGCAGCCAGGTGCACAAGCGAGGTTGAGCACATTTATTAAAGCAGAAGTTTAGGCAGTTTGAAGGTCTGGAGCATTCAGGTGTGTGCTAAGACAATGCTGCAATCTTGAGCAGACATTCAACCAAATTTACCCCAAGGTCAGAAAATGCAATGCTAAGAGAAATTGCCAAAAAAAAGAGAAAAAGATCTACATCTAAACCCTACAGTGCTCAATTAGCGTGTTAAGTGTTAAAGGTCATGACAGTACAATTACAAAAACACTGAAGAAGTATTTGGAAGGATTGCCAGGAGAAATCCTTTTCTGTCTAAAAAGAACATGGCAGCACGGCTCAGGTGTGCAAAGTTGCACAGAATCATTTGGTACTGGGCGAGAGAATTTATGGTTTTCAGGGTGTTTATCATTAACTCAGTTTCCCTGGGTCTTTTACTGTGTGTTCTGAATAAATCTTCTTTTTTTGTACCAGTACTGGTTTTATTTTGTCGTATTTATCTTCGACACCCTAAAGGCTGGACCGTGAAAATATTGTCCTACATAAACCAGTCCGTGGCGCAAAAAAGGTTGGGGACCGCTGCTCTAAATGACAAGCAAGGTGGTGGAGGGGTGATGATTTGGGCTTGTTTTGCAGCCACAGATCCTGGGCACCTTCCAGTCAGTTTGTCAACTATGAACTGAGTCATGTATAAGGACAGCAATCCCATGAACACCAGCGATTGTCTGAAAAAGAAAAGAATGAAAGCACAAAATGAGCCAATCAAATCCAGACCTCAGCCTGACTGAAATTCTGTGGGAGGACCTTAGGAGAGCCGTGCAAATGCCTACAAACCTCAATGAACAGAAACAATCTTGAAACAAAGAGTGAGCCAGAATTCCTCCACCATGATGTGAGAGACTGATAAAGTTACCTCACATTATTGCTGCTAAAGGTAGTTCTGAATCAATATTCTTTACTCCTGGAGGTGAAATTATTTTAGAAATTTGAAATTGACAGCTGTTCCCAAAAAAGACTAGACTTGCATCATTTTTTTTCCTTATATTGTTGCTATGGAAAAGAATGTCCTTCCCTCATCTGCAGCAGTTTAAAGACAACTTTCTTTGCTAGATCCCACCATCTGATCCTCGTAATGGGGTCCAGAGTTGCATGCCTTTCTTCCGCTCTGCTCCCAGCTGTGGTGCTGGAGTTCTGCCTCATCGTCAGCGGGAGCAGCTCAACGCCATCACCTCCTTTGTCGATGCCAGCATGGTGTACGGCAGCTCCACCAGCCTGGCTTCTGCTCTCAGGAACCAATCTTCTCCTCTGGGCTCAATGGCCATCAACTCCCAGCACTCAGACCACGAGCTCGCCTACATGCCCTTCCTACCTCGCCTCCAGGCTCACCTGGACCCCTGCGGCCCTCGCAACTCCACCACCTCAGGAACATCAGACAGGTCTGCTCACCGACAGAACACCACATCCTGCTTTCAAGCTGGTGAGTGGGCGAATGTAGTAAATTCTCCACCCACTGTAAGCTTCAGTGCAGCTGTTGCTCATGACTAATGCTTCACAGGTGATTCGAGAGCCAATGAACATCTGGGATTGATTGCGCTGCACACGCTCTTCCTGAGAGAGCACAACCGACTGGTCAAAGAGCTGCACCTGCTAAACCTTCACTGGAGCCCAGACACCCTGTACCAGGAGGCCCGCAAGATCATAGGAGCCATTCATCAGGTATCTGCAGGATTATCTGATGAACAACATATCACATCTACCTGTTCTCATCACTTTGACTGGTGTTCTAAATCCTTTAAGATCCTAACATGGGAGCACTACCTGCCACGGGTCCTTGGTGAGAATGCCATGTCTCATCTGATGCCTCCTTACAAGGGTTATGATCCTGACATGGATCCCAGCATTGCTAATGTTTTTGCAACTGCTGCATTTCGTTTTGCTCACGTCACCGTGCAACCAGTAGTGACCAGATTGGGGCCAGGATATAATGCTAACTCGCAGTATCCCTCTCTGCCGCTGCATCACTCACTGTTTGCCTCTTGGAGGGTTGTGCAGGAAGGTAAAGAGCAATGTTGTTGTTTTACTCTGATTACATGTACTCAGCATTTCTATTTCTGTTTTAATTTCCTCCTGTTGTTTCAGGTGGTATAGACCCAGTGCTGCGTGGCCTCCTGCTGTCTCCAGCCAAGCTGCAGACTCCCGGTCAGATGATGGTGGAGGAGCTGACAGAGAGACTCTTTCAGGCACAGGGTGGGATGCCTCTGGACCTCGGAGCCCTTAATCTCCAGAGAGGCCGAGACCACGGCCTGCCCGGTATCAAGACTTGCAACCTCTCACACCGATATCCCATCTGCTGACTGTCCTATTGTTCTCTTTTCCAGCTCCATGTTTTCATTATTGAAGTCAGCTAGAGTAGCTTTGCACCAGTCACAGTTAAAAGTAATCCATATGTGCAGTATCTTACATTTATCCTTAATACAGTCTCTCACTTCCGCCTCTATCTGAAACAAGACGTTTTAGAACCTCCCCTTTTAAACAGACTTTCTTGTGATTGGCTGCCCCCCATATTAGAGGAGGGGCAGGTGGGTGGAGATTACTTGCACATATAGTGTCTTTATTTTTATTTTTTATTTCTACAGTATTCCCTCTATTATCACAGGGCTTCCATTCTGGGGAAATCTGCAAAGTAGAAACCATATGTTTATTATATTACTTTTGTATATTTTAAGCCATAAAAATCCTCCCCATGCTCTTATAAACCCTATTATAACTTTGTTATTCATTTTTTAGGCTAGATAATGCTTATTTTTACTGCAAAAATAAATTGCAATTTTAAAAATTAAAACACGCAGAAACTGTAATATAAATTTGCAGATAAATCAAAAATGTAGCGTGTCTGGAAAGGTAAAACACGATATGACGTGGGAATACTGTATACTAATTCTTGTATTAAACTGTGTGTTTTCATATTCTAGCTGCAAAAAAAATGAGAGCACAGTTGATGTTATTGTAATGTAAGTCAACGTGCACAACATCACAGCATCATTAATAGTAGTTATACTTGTTTCCTTGAAAGTCTGCCATGAAGGGTGTGTGCTGACTCAGGAACCAGTCCCAGATGTAGGAATGTGTTAATAACCCTGCCAGGTGGCCTGTAGTCCTCTAATAGTTATTTGTGTTGCTTGATAATTAAGAGTTAAAACTGGCCCTCTGAAATTTCCCTCAGGGAGTGACTTCTCACAGAGCTAAGCCAACTAGTTCCTAATGCACGTTATCACGTGATGCTATTGCAACAGTCACTGCACAAAAAAACCTTGAGAGAATCCAGCTATGCAACCTAATCTCACCTTATTTATTTCATTTTTGTATATCTACACTTAAGTTTGAAGGTTCTAATTTCCCTACTATTACATCTGCCTTCCTTTTTAATTGTAAAGCACTTGGTAAAATCAGTATTTTGCTATGTTCACTTTCACATGAGCCCCATATATTTAATGCTTATCTCACTTTCTTCACTCCATCTTTAACCTGTAGTCTTCTGACTCATCTCCTCCATCAGGATACAGCTCCTGGCGAAGGTTCTGTGGCCTTTCTGTTCCCAACAACACACTGGACCTGGCTGAAATTCTGGGCAACTTCACTTTGGCTCACAAATTCCAACTCTTATACGGGACACCACACAACATCGACGTGTGGGTGGGTGCCATCTCTGAGCCAGCTCTGCCCGGAGGCCGAGTCGGACCGCTCCTGTCATGCCTGCTCGCGAGACAGTTCAGAGCGCTGAGAGACGGTGACAGGTGGGCCACAGCTAAAATTAAATTATTAAAAATATGATGCAAAAAGTGAAATTCTAAAATATGTGCTTGTCTTTCAAGGTTTTGGTGGGAGAGGGAAGGAGTGTTCACCCGCGCTCAGAGGAAACATCTGCGTTCAGTCTCTTTATCCCGCATCATTTGTGACAACAGCCACGTCACACATGTCCCTGCCGACCCGTTCTCACGCACCGAGACCTCGGAGGACATGTTGGCCTGTTCTGACCCCCTCATCCCTCACCTTGACATCAGCCCCTGGAAAGAGCAGGACTCGGGTGAGGCTGTGGAAAACAAGTTGTGTCGAGTATGAAGCTGGGATGGCCTTATTTTTTCACTGACTTTCTCACAGATCCCCGCTGCGGTCCAATACCCAGGATTCAATTTGGCTACTATCTCCTCTGTAACTCGGTGATCCTGTATCAGTGTCACTCTGGCTACAAGCTGCTGGGAGCTTCATCCATCAGTTGTGATCCAAACAGCCAGCAGTGGAGCCCAGCACCCCCATCGTGTCAGGGTACGAAAACGAAACTGTCTAGTCAAGCCCTGATGGCATGTGTTGTTCTTTTCTTTTAACGCCAGAGTTTAACATTATGTTTTTTGTTTAAGGAATTATAATTGTTAAAAAATAACTTTCATTTAAGCTCAAGAATGAATTTGAAATTCCAACTTCCAGGAAGAAATTTTAACCAGGAAAATTCTAAAATTAAAATTAAAAATACAATTCTCCAGAAAGGGCAATTTAACTAATTGCTGGAGTTTATTTTAAACACATTTTTAGCAGTTTAGTCAGGTATATTATCTACATGAATTGTTTCAATATCTGGGCTGCAGCCCTCAGTGGACTGTGAAGGTACTGCGGCTGGGCCCTAGTCATTTATTTTTTTTAATAAATCATTCAGTAAACTTGTTTTTTAGTTAAAAATATGCCATTAAATATGTCAGTTTGGCTGATTTTGCAGATATCGATGAATGTGAGGAAATGACTTCTTGTCCACAACACCTGGAGTGCCTGAACATACCAGGCTCCTTTGTGTGCTCAGGTTGGTTTCAGATCACTTTAAATATTTCCCAATGTGAATTTTAAACACCATTCAGCACGTACTAAACGTCTGTCACTTCTGAACACCTCTTCACATGACCCAGAGCCCTCCTCGCTATCGGCCGTCTCCATCGTCACCGCAGTGATAGTTGTGTTTGGAGGCGTGGCCGTGCTGGTGATTGGCATGTTCTGTTTTCGAAGGCGAGTCATCTGCATGCAGATTTCTCATTTTACACAAACACTGGTGGGCTAGTTTCAACAGACTGAATTGAATTGAAATGTAATGATTAAAGGAGCTATACAAACATGTTCATACATCACTAAAAATATTTAACATTTCAATAACTGAATTTGTTTCTTGCAGATATCTCCCAAAGAGAGAAGCGCTGGTGACTGCTGGATGTTGCCAAGAGAAAAGTTAATCAATCCTTTGTAAGAGTTTGGTTGATTTTTGTTGTAATATTCCTGTGAAATTATCTAAATGTTTTTAAATGTTCTTATGTATTTAGTAGACTAGCTGCAGAGGTTTTTTTTCATCTTAATTTATATGTATCACATCTGTGTTCAATAAGAGTTCAGCTTATAAGAAATTCATCTTGATTTCATCTTTTCTCCTCCGTGCCCATTGATAAACAGCAGGTCAAACTATTTATTAAGGTCTGCTGTAATCGGTACAAAGAGGTCATCAAAACAGCAGCTCAGAGAAGTCTTTCCAATCCGGAAACTCAAATCTTACTGGAATGTCGGCTTCATAAAGCCCCTCTGAGCTGGACACGGTCTAAGTATTTCCTCGGTATTCCTGCTTGAGAACCTGTTTGGCGTATGTAAGTGTTATGACCTTATTCTAACCCCAAATCTGTGACGTGCCCAGAGCAAACATCACCCCTGGGTTATCTGGTTGCACTGGGTTGAAATTAATTGAATTGATGAGTCTTTCCCGAGCAAACTTCCGGAGTCTCCCTCTCTTGATCGGATTTCTAATAATAAAAGAGACATGGTACAAAAGTGACAGCTGGTATACAATGCCTCGTGTTTAATGCAGCTTTTACACAGTTGATTATGAGTACACTGAGGTCAGGAACCTCAAAGCCCTGCATAAGGCTAAGAAGCAGTTATTGCACGTTCTGACACACTATACTTCATTGTTACCTTTAAAAGATTTCTGTTTTTTAAAAAAGTCAGTAACAATAAATCTATAATATGAGATACAACCTATATACACTATGGCTATTTTCTGCATTCATGCAAAGTCAATTATGGCTTTTACTTTATGTTCATACTGTTAACTACAGATGTGCAAAACTCAATCACATCTTAAAAGCTTTTTTCACCTGGCACTGTAAAGCTCTCCCTACTCTGAGCATGGGTGGGTAATAATTAACGATACATCTGATTTTTAGGTACAGGGCTAACGAGAAGCTGAAGGTGACTAAGTTAAGTCTTTGTACAAGGCAGAGCAGGAAGTGTACCAACAAAATTAAGGCCATGCTCAGAATGAAGGTCTGGGCTGTGGTGTCTGAGCTGATAACTGAAAGTACAAAGAAAACAAGCTGAATCATTGCTGTGTGGAAACAATAAAACTATTACACCACATATTTGTAATACTTGAGGTTAAGATTGTGCTCATTATTTTGCAGGCTAATGCCTGAATCAGGACACACAGTCTATTGTATAAATATGAGAAATTTTGTATTCCGTGGGTGATTCAGTAAGAAGTTTCTCCACACTTTCTTGGGGACAACAGTTATTTTCCAGGAATGTGGTGCAACAGAAAAAACTTCTCCGACATGTCTGGGAATAATATCATCTTTTTTTTCCCTTCCTTTTTTTTTTTTTTTTTTTTTTTTTTAAAAACATGGACTTTAATGTCATTCCTGGAGTGCTGGTTTGATTCTAATTGTTTTATTGCATTTCCAAAAGTGACAAACATGTTTTTCTTCCCTTGTCGGTGACCTTTGCTGCAGCACTGTTCAACCTGATCAAAGACATGTGCGTTGCCACAGTTACCCAAGGCTGTAACTGCTATGCTCTCTTGTTGAGTGTTCCAGGTACCGTCCTAGCCCTGGTCAGTGAGGTAGAAACCTAATTTGGCCACATTCATCTCTCTACGAAGACGCATGATTTCCCAGAACATCTGCTCCGCTGAACATGGGAGGAACAAAAAAAATTAGAAAGAAAGATGTTGGTTGTTGGCAAAGTTAAGACCGAGTGGTAACAGAGCCGTGCACCTGTAATTCAATTTTAAAAGGAAGACACATTATTCTCTAAGTAATTCTATGTAGTGCATAACTTCATGTGTTTTCTGGGAAAGAGGAAATTATTAAATGATACATCATATAATAAAAAGGACAACTGATTATTAATAAAACATCAACATAATGATTATTAAATAAAGATGTAAAAAGGCGAGATTAATCCATCACAACACAGCTCGTGCCCCAAAAAAATACAGTGGAAGAAAGTTACCACAAAGTTACCATGAAATTACCCACTACTTACTTATGCTGTACTTAAAAATACTACCTACTAGCAGTACAATTTGTATCTTTCAGTAAAATACCCAAAGTTACTCACTACTTAAAATTCCTCATGCATTGCATAAAATGACTTGCATAATAATTACATTTGCTTAAACTATTTCTTTCTGTGTCTCTGTTAACTTACCATCATGTCTCACCAGGCCCTGCTGGATGTAGCGGATATAAGTGAAGAAATTGCAGACAGCCGTGATCTAGAAAAGCGAATATGTGACAAGGTCACGACTCTACACAGTGGCTACGCAAACTTTTATAACACTGGCATGTCTTGGAATTTTGTATCATTCAAACATTATTACTATAACTGCAGAAAAGTAATGAATGATAATTAAACTTTGCAATTTGTACATATGAAGATGAAAATCACATTAAAGGCCTCTAATGAGAATAAAACAAAACATACAAAACACGAGAAGAAAAAAATGATATACTATGAAAGCTACCTGCCTTAAGGCTTCAGCTAGACAGAAGATGTTAAGTCGTTGCGTGAGTGCATCATTTGCTGGGTGGAGTTAACTAATGCTAATATGGTGCAAAGCATGCTTAGGGCGAGGCACACAGAAACCAAACATTCCTTCAGAGAGAAAGATTGCCTGAGAGAAACAGCTGAGGATCTGAACCACAGGTAGAAACAACATGTGTTTGCTTGAGTCAAACTGTTTGATAAGGGTGTGCAAACAAGACTACAGGTGTGCCTTGGACGGAAAGGAAGTGATATTTACCCGTGCTCGGCTGGAAGGTGAGATGTAATAGTAGCTCTCTTTGTCGCCAAGTTTAATGCGATGTTTGCAAAGCCGTGACAGGCCACTTAATGCACATTTTCTACAAGAGAAAACAACGTGTCAACAATTTATTGCAGCACAACGTAGATGCACAATCATCTGTTTTAGGACAGGATACAGCAAACATGAGCTTACAGGCCTTTAGTTCTTCAACAGTAAAACATACTGAGAACACTTTACAACTCGTTTTAGTGAAAGAGGTGCGCAGAGAGAAAGTTAGCCACAAAAGGAATGAAAGTGGGATCCCGTCTGGTTCATTAATTTACAGATTTGTTTATATCGTTCCACACATCTGTGTTGACAGTTTTTTATTTCATGCCACAGTTATCAGAGTTAGTGAAAAGCTGAAAGGGTTATTAGCTCCCGAGAGGACTTACGTCTCTACTGCAGCCCTAAAGCCACTGGAAAAAAAAAAAAACAATTTTAGATCAGGGTGATTAGAAATGTGCCCACTGATTAAACCACTCTCAGTCATAATTGTAAGATAGACAAAAGGCTCTGATCATAAACCATCGATGGAAAAACCAAACCAACCAAATCAGAGCAGTGAGTGGTGAAACACCACAGGATGACAGTCGGGTAACTCACTTAGGACCTCCACACTCTATAGCTGAGGCTTTAACCATCGGTACTGCCGACATGGCGACAGGCTCAATGGTCAGAGAGTTGTTCTCCACTGCGCTCTGGACCAGGTGGGACAGCTGTGGAGAACAGGAATCAATAACTTTAACATAACTTCACATTAACCTCCTAAGACCCGAACTCTTCCACAGCATGCATTTTTTGGGTATATTGGGGCCAGATGAATGTAAAAACAAAGAATTGCCACATTTTTTTTTTACCTTATTTCTGTTTTTAAGAAAAAATAAGAGCCACATATGAGGATAATCATTAAAAATTTTTGATAAACAGTAGCAGTATAATGTCCTTATAAGTGGATATCAGGCCCTTGTAGAGCAAAATTGAGTATTTTGGTCTAAATAACCCAAAATGTGATGTCCACATATGTGGACGCCAGGTCCTAGGAGGTTAAAATACACACGAAGCAGCATGGTAGCTGTACAAAGAAGCAGTGAGTATGACCTCTGATCTCGTGAAGGAGAGGCAGGGCCCGATGTCTTCTCTGTAAATACGACTCAGGAAGGCGGAGGAGCGGTCAAGGCTCGGGTGTTCCTTCCACATCAAAAACTCAGCAAACAAAATGGAGTCCATCTGCAGAGAGAAAGCCAAACCTTCACTCAAACTGGATAAAACTGATTCTCTGACACACATCTAGATTAAAGACGCGTTTAATCCCCAAAAGACCGATGACTGAAAATAAACGATCCACTGTTGAACACACAAAAGTGTTTAAATACTAAAGATAAGAAAATCTTGTATTCAAAGAATTCGGGCTGTCAAAACATCAGAGTTTAAAAAGGAAATATCGTCAATATAAAGCCCATAAAATTCCTCCACCTTATTTAGGATTTATATGATAGAAGACAAATGATCTCAGCAGACCTGAAGTGAAAATCCTTTTAAAATAATCAGGAAGTCTGGGAATACCAAAACAGACTGGACTGGAGCAAACCTTGAGCACGCTTTGGTCAATTCATATAGCTCATAATCTGGATTTAGAGAGTGTCTATAAATCTATGTTCTTCATACTTCAAACAAGGCAAGTCTCAACAAGAAGCCCATTTTAATAAAGCAGACAGCGCTGCTGTGGGTTTAACAGGCAGTTAAAGAAAATTCAAAACACATCAGTCGATCCTTTAAGGTGAAAAACGTAGTTAAGGTCCACCATCGCTATGAATTAAGGGATGTAATCATCTCCTCTCCTTTCATAAAAAGGATGGTCCGATGCATCCTCTGCTAAAGGATGTAATAAATGAAATACTGAAACACCTCATTTTGTTATCTGGAGAATTAAAACAGCTCTTAGTAATGCTGCTGTGCAGATACTCCAGGTCAGGTCACTCAGTAACTGTCCCAGGCAAAACTGGCTGTTCGACAGCACTCAGTCAAAGTTATGGAGTTTGTTGTAGGAAGGGATTCCCACAGTGTGAAAATTATGGAGTTTCATACTGAATTTGGCAGGAACACTTTCAGTGGCTGTAAGATCTACAGCGCCTCCTTCCATATTGAAAAAAAAATGTAATATTGAAAATTGTTTCTAGCTGAATGGACACTTTGAGCTCTTTAAGCTAAAAACTGCTCCAAACGGTTTGTTCATTTCCATTTTGACCATTTGTTTAACTTTAGCTTTCATTTTTTTAATGTTAGTTTTACTTTTTATTCTTTATTCTTATTCTTATCAATGGTGTTGTTGTTGGTAGTAGTAGTAGTAGTAGTATATGGGCGGTACTAGCAACGGGGAAGTAAAATAATCCAATGCATCATTATAACCACTTGACTGACAGTCATGTAGACATCCTCAATGTCAAACATCAGCAACAATGTCTCCTCAGGCTCATTGCATAGACAAATATCTCCAGAGAGACAAGATTTTGATTTTGGTTTTTGATTTCTTTAGCTTGTTTTCAAATACACAATATCATTTCTTGTAGTTTTTAGTTCTCTAAAAACTTGTTTTAGTTCGTTATAATAACCTTTGTTCATAGTAAGACATAACACCAGTTATGTGGACAGGATCTAGAGACAATATCCCCACAAATGACACATCACTTGCAGTTAAACATTAATCCATTATGATAGAAAAGTCAAACAATAATTTCAAACTCATAAAAAAAAAAAAAAACAACAGCTGCAAAACTGTGAGCCCGAAATTTACAACCTTGGGTAATATGGATAAGAGACACCAGGGACAATTCGTTTTGGTAACCCTACCACACTTTAGCAATGAGCCAGAGGCACTGACATTACTGAACCAGCTCTACAAATTCTCGAAATTATGGCAACATAAAATGGTATCTTTTGTTTTTGTTGTAGTCATACTAGACAATACAGTGAGTGTGTCATGCTTGGCAATTTTCAAAAATATCTATAATATCTCGATATTAGCCAACATATCAGTGATTATCTGTCAAGAACTGGGTATAAACGTTGTGTATCACTAATGTACGTTCAACACACATAACTCCAGTAAGAAGCAAACAGCTGCATCAAGAAGTCCCTGTTCACCTTACATACACGCTGACAAATTTCAATACAAACTACAGAAAGAAAAGCTCTCAGACCAGACATACCACACTCTTGACTCAACAGATATCACAGTCTAGAATCACAGTCAAGACACAGGTAAATTTGAAAGATTAGAGAAATGTAGGAAATGTAAACGAATGCAGATTACCTGTCTGCCATCAGTGCCCATCCCCTCTATCTGTTTTTGCCATTGAGGGTCATAGGTCATACTGACAGACTGGCCAGGTATCAGACAGAAGATCAGAGAGAGGAGGGCAGGAGCAGCAGGCTGAGAGAGGAAGAGACCCCAGATAAAGACAAGAAGAACAAGTCGGAGAGGTTAGCAGAAAGAAGGGAAAAAAGGAAAGAGAATCTGGCTAAAAGTGATAAAAGTGACTGGAAACAGAAATGGGAAATAAAGTGGGACGCATATGGACGCATACCTGAAGGAGAGGAGAGACAACTGTATAAACTTCAGTTTACCTCTCGGTCCTCTTTGGACACAGGCTGAATGGAAACTTCTTTTTTTGCAGGTGAGAGTGGAAATGCACCGCTGGCGCTCTTGTTCCGTACGTGCGATTTGTACGATCCCCTGGTACCTGAAGACTGCAGCTGTGGATGCAGCTGGCGATTTGGTGAAGAAGGTGTGGACGTCAACACCAGAGTCTTGAGTGCTGTCACTTCTGCTTGCAGAACATCAATCTGCAAGCCAGACACAAAAAAATTTAATATTGATAATTTGAGGCTATTTTATGACCTTCAACTATGTGAAAAAAAACTGTTCTGATTCAGGAAAGATTTCTGTTCTTCACTGTTTTAAGTTTTTTTTTTTTATTAAAGAAACTTCACACACACCTTCCCCTGAGCCTCCTTGAGCTGTTTCTCTGAAGCTGCTTGTTTCACGTTAGCATCACGCACCATCTTGTGAGCCTCCTGTTGAAAAGTAAATTGAGACTAATTAAAATTGTACGTTCAAAGCTCAGCAGCTAGACAAAGACAGTGACTGGCTGGTCAACACAGCACAACATGTAAGGAAAAAGATGACCTTCGTGGCATTAAAAAGCTACTTTTGGTAAGAAGTGTGCTGTCAATTTTGCGACTGAAAGGTATTTTCTGCAGCAGGTCTTACTGCATATGTTTAAGAGTGTAAGATTTTGAAATATACTTTGGATTATTTTCCATCAGAAATTATCTGCGCTGCTCTTAACAGACTTCTGTTCACTATTAAATTGAGCTGGCTGCATCTTTGTTTATATATTGATGCATTTTAGTAGCTAAACCTCAGAGCTAATTTAGAACAAACTTGGTAAATCTTGCTCTTAACAAAGAGATGGACTCCTCCAGAGTCAGTGGGTCAAAATTTTTTCAAAGCAATTACAATGTTGCTTTAAAAAAAAAAAAAAAAAAAATCACATCAACCTGAAATTTTTATTTATATAAAGGAAGTGATGGTTCTGTAGAAATGCAAACTGCTGATTTAAGGACTTTTGTGGCATAGCACCAACCACCTTCTTCGTCACCAGCTGTCAGAATTACAGTGCACTCAGCAGAGAGCGATGATTACTGCTGACCTCAAACAGACTGGCTGTCAGCTCCTCTAGCTCCTGCTCCAGTTGATTCCTAACTTGCGACAGACGCTCGCACTCCTTGTCCTTTAGTTTCAGTTCCTGAGATGTGCAGGGGAAAAGGACACAACCACATTTAAAACAGAGAAGAACATTTGCATTGTCAGCGCCTTGTTTTCCTGGTCACACTATCTTTTGTTTCTCTGTGTGTGCGCAACCACAAAGTAGGTTACTATACATTCTTTGCAGCATCCAGCTGTTCCCTGAGGATTTCGGACCCTTTTTCCCTGATTTCCAGGGAGGAGCTGCGAAGCCGGGAGAGCTGGCCATGGCCTCGGATTGACGTGGGCCCGACCTGGCCTCCTCCCTCCATTCTGGTCTCTGGTTCTGGATCCAGATCTACCAACCTTCACAAGACCACAAAAAATTAATTGTGTAATAAAAATAAATAAATATATAAAAATAAAATCAATCCTGTACTTAACTACACCCTAATGAGGTTTTTACAGTAATTTAAAAGACTAAAATTAACACCAATGATAAATAAACTAAACATCTACAAGAAATAAAAAGTAAACTGAAACTAGAACCACTTTTTAAAACTACACTATAAAATGTAAACAAAAACTAAAACTGTAGAAAACCAAATAATACTTAAAAGAAAAAACACCAAACCATAACAACCTTAGAGCCAGTGTGATTACTTACAAAACCCTGAGATTCATTTCTACTTACTTTTACAGTGTCAACACAATCTAACAATAATAGCCTTCTTGGTTACAACAGTGCGCTCACTGCAAGACCCCGGGGTGGACCTCGCACCACAGCTTGGAAACCCCTGATACAGCATTAAAAATCCCGACATTTGAATTTAAAGGAAGCTTAAGTTACTTTTATCCCCAAGTTGCAGATAAATCGGTCCACAAAGCAGCTAAATAATTAGCAGACCTTGAGCTAACTAGCTAGTTAGCTTACATTTCCAACTTTTTTTCTTTCTTTTTTTTTTTCCACGGAGAGGTCCCTCGTCAGTATCCGCCCTTACCCTCTCTGTCAGTGTCCGGGACAGCAGATAAATAAACCTCCCAGCCCGTCTGCGTATTTGTCAGCTGCTTCTCGCCAGTTTCCCTGAGCTGCTGCTGCTGTTAAGTTAAGAAATATAGCATAAACCAAGCTAATGTCCGAGCGAGTTTCAGTGAAACTAATCCCAGTCGTTTTCAATCACAGCTGAGGAATGCGGACGCCTGCGCAGACGATCAACCGCCCAGCAGCAGCAGTTTCAGTCAGAAACAAGACGAAAATCAAGAGCAATGGTTTGCACTTCCTAGAAATAACACTCACTCCTTTCTTCTCCTTTTTTTTGCCAAGACAGGAAAATGAGTGTATCTCCTTTTTCCTGCCTCCTCCTCCTTCTTCTTCTCTCTTCTTCTCTCTCACAAGTCACATGATGACATCCACCCGACTGCCCAAACGGCACGTCCTGTACGTGGACCAACAAGGTGTCACGGGTCTACCTGCTTAGGTGTATGCTTTTTGCGTGACCAGAGACAACCGATTACAGAGTCACTCTATGGAAAATCAGTGAGTCCCCCCTCTCTGATCCCCAAATATCAGCTGATAATTTTTATTTTACTTTATTTTGTAGTAACTTTATCATACTTAATGGAACCATACAAATAATTTTTCTTCACTGGGTAAAAGCCATTCAGGGCACAGAAATGAAGTAAGAGGCCTAAAATCCAGCTTTTGTAAGTGCAATGTAGCACAGAGTGACAGAGCCTTATGTACTTACCGTGTTTATATACTTTATATTAAGTGTTAAAATCTCTTACATTCAAGGATGATAAAACATAATGTGCGCTAGTTGCATTTATTTATTTTTTTGTAATCAAAATTAAAAATAGTAAGTTACTAAAAATTGTTTTTTCATTTAGTAGAACTTGATTTTTCCGATTGTGCAATACTAATTGTTTACCCACAAGTTATTCTTAGTACTGTGTACTGGCAATGAATAAGATGTCTTAACATAGTTATCTTTTTCTCTTTTTTTCAGTCCACATGTTTGCATACTTTTTTAAGTTCCTGGAACTAATTAGGTTTTACAGGGTACTCAGAATAAATAAGTTGCCCTAACTTAGTTATCTTAAGTAAGATTAGCTTTTTTGAGGCAACAAGTTTGCATACTTTTTTTAAGTTCTGGGAACTAATTTGATTTTACAGTGACCTGATTCCTGCTGTAATTAAATCAGAAGTTTGATCAAAAGATAGTCAAGAATCAATAAAGTTGAATAAAAATATAATTTTAATGTGTAAACCTTTAAGCCCTGTCTGTGAGGAAAGTGTAGCAGGCAGAAAGATAGAGAAATAGAAATGTTTTTGATTTTATTATGCATGAACAACCAGAAGAAGTCATTTTTAACTGTATTGCGATTGATTAAGCCTTCTTTTTTTACAAATTGGATTCACTGTTTTTGAGATTTGCTTTGCTCACTGCCACGATCTTGGATTGGGGCAGTGAGGGCGTTCTCCCCTTAGCCATGCAGGATGGCTGAGGATTGTAAAACCAAAACTGAGAAAGTTTTTGATTTGAAGGTAAATATGTTAAATAAAAAAGTTAATTATGAACCAAAGTTAGTTTGCAGTCTTATCTGCAAACGTGCTGAACTTATTGTACCAAAAAGGTGGTGAGATTTTATCCCCTATGGTTGCCTCCAGGGTCCCTGAACTTTAATGTTCATCATGGTTTTATATTCATATGAAATATGGTTGAAGTTACAAATAATAATATCAGCGCCAATACTCTAAGTTTACATTTTTTTCTATTCTTGGATCTGTTTGATGTCACTAAGAGCCAATATTCTAATATGGTTATCTCAGCCCCACACCTTTTACTGTGAAATCAGAAGCCCCATCCACTTGCTCTTCAAACCTGGTCTGCCAAAATCACAGAGCGAGGATGTCAAACTTGTTTTATATTGTGGGCTGGACCAGTTAAACTATCCTTTCTTTAACTACACACGTAATCCCTGAGATATAGTAACATAGTGTTATGTGTTAACATATATATATGTAATATAAAAAATCTACTTCAGGTTTTTCTATGAGATAAAGAAATGCTGCTGCATTAATTACAGACATCTGTCAGCATGACTCTTTTGGGTGTAAATTGTAAGAAATAAATGTGTAAAATTACAGAGTTCTGGCATCTCATTGCCCAGGCTGTCCTGTAAGTATATATTTTTTTTTATTTTACTGAGGGCCCACTATTAAACAAAAAAAATTTTCTTGAGTAGTTTCTGGAAAAAACAGGAACTTTGCTGTCACTGAATTGTTTTACTTAATTACTTTGGTGTAGTATGAATGGCCATGGTGGAGGTCTTTATCATTAGGCAAAACTATAAAACTTACAGTTAAAAGTCTAGGATTATTCTTTCCTTCACATTTTCTAAAGCCATCCAATTGGCCGGATTGGAGTCTTTAACTGGCCGATTCCGGCACCTGGGCCTTATTTTTGACACTCCTACTATAGATGGTGTAAGAGACCGATGTAGCTACTCAGCTGTTTATGAAGTCCTGAAACCGCACGTGATGAGCAAGGAGTGGATCTGACTTTAAAACCAAGAAGGAAGCCCACTTGTTGGGTAATGACATTTAATTGACGAGTCTTTAGCCAATGAGCATTCTTAGACAACCTCCTGACTCTAAGCCTAATCATTTCAATATGTCCTAAAAATACAGAGCAAGGTTTTTTGCAACCAGATGAGTCGCCTCCTGCTGGCCATTAAAAGGAATGCACAAATCAGTAGACGTAAGACCAGTGTGATAAGGGTGGGGATAAATCATGTCCAGGAACACTAATTAATAGATCACAATTTCACACAAGGCTGTGAGACTGTGTTGGTTTACATGAAGCAGCCAATCAGAAGAGAGGACAGGGAGCTACAATAGTTTCCTTCAGGGGATGAACTTGGCTACTCCAAGGTCCAGTTTTTCTTAAATTTTTTAAATCTCTGACATGTCCTGTCAGTGAATTTGTCAGTAGGAAAGAATTAGGAATACTGCTGACTGCAGGGTTTAAGACGCTAAAACTCGCAGCGTTCTGTGTGGATTACATTTCAAGCATTTATCCTCCATCTCAGGCCAACACCGGCACGTTTTCCAACTTTTGCATGATCGCCGAACAGCAGAAGGATTTTTCATTTACAAAACATGCCTAAGAAAATACCAATCACTGTTGGAGTTACACTAAAACTAAACACAGACCTTTGTTTGCACTTTTGCATATCTGACTCGGTCACCTTGTTACAAGTGCACGCGCCCACAATCACAGACTTCACACTGAGCAGGACTTGTGACAAAGCAATGTGCTACTTTTAGATACATTTTGCACCATGTGCAGAATTACACAACTATCTCTGGAGAATCTGGATAAAGGGAAGATAAATGTATACATGAATCTTTATACATAAGCAGCAACTGGCACGTGTTATGTTAAAAAATGTGTTTTATCAGTTTATCCAGTGCTCCAAGATTTAACACTTACTGTCCGACAACACAGCCTTCCTCCTCGATGACCTTGCCAGACTTGTGCCTGACAGTAGACACATTTTGTGTGCCAAAGAAGACTGCAGAGGAGTATACTGCAATCCCAGATATTCCCGCCTTGAGGACTTCATATCCCGGGCTCGATGAAGTTGAAGGTGGAGAAGAGGAAATCTGGACGCTGTGAATTCCCTCAAAAGCATCCATAAGTTATCTCTCAGGCTGTGCAGAGATTCATCAAATGCTGTTGGATAGCTCCTGGGATGGTTTAGTTTGTGGAAGGATGACTCTGACGTGTGTGGGTATTAAGCACCTAAGATGCAGAAAACACAGAGTTACATACTGCAATTTAAAATCAGTGCAACTAACTTCAAGATCTTTCCCCCTTTCTGAATACCACATTTTCTTTTCTTTGCAGGCTGATTGTGCTCAGTCTGTTAAACTGCACTTGTGAGATGAATTAAGGAGAAAAAATAGAGAGGATATACTCACCAGAAATATGTAAAACTGATTCACAGATGTTGCCAGTGCAGAAGAGAATCTGCCAAAAGCAGCAGAAACCAAACACCCTGCACTTCGCCCTGCTGTTGGTCCTTCTGGTTATACAGGAAGGGTTAATCACTAACACACTCTGACCAGTAGCAATTCAGCTGTATGCATTTTTTCCAGCAGAGGGGGGTCACACACGTTCTCACCTGACCAGGAGTTTGCCATGATGAAATCCTGCTACAGATGGGAAAAAAACAGCAAAGGTGACCTGACATTGAAACACTAGAACAATAGCTCAGAGGTGTGTACCTAATGCACACCTCTGAGATGTAGAAAAAGTGTTAAATTACAAAAAGTCGAAGCGGGCTGAGATTTGGTTCACAGAGTCATATTTCTAACCTAAACCCACACACTCAGCATTTATACTCGTAACCAGCCTATTTGTGGCAGTGTGGGTTCTCTGCTGCCCTCAGATTTGCTCAGATTAACAGGAGCTGGCCTCACAATGCAGCTTTGTTGGAGAAACAGATTAACACATCAAGTGACCGGAGGTGTAGGAGGCCCTCGCTCGCTTTTTCTTTCCTGCTTTGCTTTCTCCAACATTATCCCTGAACGCTGCCACCGCACATCTTGAACCGCAGAGAGCATGATGGCCATTTTCGTTTTCTTTAAGTAGGTCTGCGCATATCACCTCTCTCACAACCTTGAAATCTGAATCGCATCACATTTCAAGGTGTCTTTTTCCAATCAGATTAAATGAGGACCACAAATCAACCCATCTGAGCTGCTTGGTTTACCGCTCTGTCCTTTCAGATCTGTCACCACACTGGTCTTAAGGGGCTGATCGCCGAACCTGAGCTCAGACGAAGCACGGAGGACAACACCACGCTGGTTTCCTTCATGTCAGGCCACAGTCAGCCAGCACGTTGGCCAACAAGCAGCAGCAGCGATGACAGTGACGTACTCCCGCCGAGTTGCTGATGCAGGTTTGGGGACCTTTTTTCACCTTCTCCTGCGATGGAAGGGCAGCATCTACAAACTGCTCTACAGGGAGCTTATCATCTTCACTCTGCTCTACTACTTCTTCAGTGTTGTTTACAGGTAGGAAAGTCACATTACAGCAGCACGAGTTTTGCTCTCATAATGACATTTTTCTGTTTTTAAGAGAGAGTTAACTGTTTTGGTCCCAAAACTGGGAATTATGAGTCATCTTTTAGGCCTCAGTTGGATTAGGAACATAATTAACTTTAAATGTAATTTTACTTTAAAGCTTCAAAAAAAAAAAAAAAAAACTAGCACTCATAAATTAATTAGACTACCACTCCAGTGTAAGGTTTATGCCCCTTATGCTCTATATTTAACAGTATTGGTAATAACTAAAATCAGTTTCTGTAATGGTTTATGGCTCTTTAAACAAAGTGATATTTGTATTGCTAAAATATGATTGTTGTTGTTAAGCAGAAAGAAAAATATTGTAAAGCACATTATTATTATTAACTTACATTCCTGAACAAAGAGTTTAGATTTAGTGGTCAGATGTTGTGTTTTCTTGTTTTTATCACAGATGGTGTAATAAATGTATTCATCACTGTACATGCTTTCCTCTCCTTTTTATTGTGCCATTCAGTGTTATCTACAAAAATGAAAATTCACAAACATCTCAAAAGTTCATTCTTATTATGAGTAGATGGTTGCGTGTCTGTTTATGAGTAGCACCCTACTACATAACGGCATCTGTGACCCCTTTTACAGCTCTTAAAATAGCTTTAAGTGTTCTGCGAGATGTATTTCACAAGGCAGGTATTAACAAAAGTAACAACCCTTCTGACTTTGGCAAGTAAAAGAGTCACTTTGCTGTTTTAACAGAGCTCGCGTCAGTGCTTTTGATATTTCCCTCACCAGGTTTGTGTTAAACGATGATCAGAAGAGGCTGTTTGAAAAGTTGTCGATATACTGCGACCGGTATGCAGAGCTCATCCCTGTGTCATTTGTGTTGGGTGAGTTGTGGCTCACTAACCCTAACCCTTTTAAGTCAGGAGGGCATCACTGAAAGTTTCACTTCATTTATCTTAACCAGGTTTCTATGTGACTTTGGTCGTGTCCCGTTGGTGGGGACAGTTTGAGAATGTACCCTGGCCAGACCGTTTGGCAGCATTAGTCGGCGGTCACGTTCGAGGAGCTGACGAAACATCCCGGCTGACCCGCAGGACACTTATGAGGTACGCCAACCTCTCTGGTGTGCTCATCTACCGCTCCGTCAGCACAGCAGTCTACAAGAGGTTTCCAACCATGGAGCATTTGGTGCAGGCAGGTGCGTCGTTTGCTGTTATTGGTCTTGCCTCTTTAAAACATAGCATGCTGTGCAGAAGCTGCACAGCATTCAGACCCAATGTCTTCTTCTCATGTGGCTGAACTGATGAGAAGATTATGAGGCGAGCTCTGGCTGTTCACCAGGACTATGCGTGCAGGAACACGCACCTTTTGGCTGCTTTCATCAACACGTTGTGTTTTTCCATCTCAGGTTTGATGACATCAGAAGAGCTGAGGCACTTGGAGGATTTGCCCTCCCCTCATAATAAGTTCTGGGTGCCCTGCATGTGGTTTGTCAGCCTGGCTCTGAGAGCACGGACTGAGGGTCGCATCAACAACGACGTGGCGCTCACTGCTCTCCTCACTGTAGGTGCCCGTGTGCAAACCAAAGCCTCACAGCCTGCAAATATTTTCTGGTTTTGCATGACTTTTACTGTTTTCTGTTTAGGAGTTGAATAGCTTACGGGCGAAGTGTATGAAGCTGTACGGCTATGACTGGATCAGCCTGCCTCTTGTCTATACTCAGGTTTTTGTTTATATTGCATTCAGCACTGAAACCAAAAAGTAGCCGATAGCAGTAATATTAGGTACTAAAAATATAATGGTTTTCATCATTCATTTCAATTCATTCATCATTTCAATCATCATATACCTTAAATCGTTAACCCTCCCTAATCCAGATGCATTTGATCGGCAATAAAAGCCATAACTCAAGATAAACTGTTTCTCTAGGATGGTGTAAAACAATCCTAATTAAAGGCATATAATCAGTTAATGCTCTGACTTTTTTTTTTTTTAATTAGGTGGCAACAGTTGCAGTCTACAGCTTCTTCCTAGCGTGTCTGATCGGTCGTCAGTTCTTGGATCCAACTCAGGGATACCCTGGTCATGAAATGGATTTCTACCTCCCTATTTTTACCCTGTTGCAGTTTTTCTTCTATGTTGGATGGCTGAAGGTGAGGGACCACTGATTGATCATGTCTGTGGTTCTTAAAGTTGAGGCCTGCAGCCACAAAAAGAAAGGAATTCGCTACTGGACAGTTCATCCCATTGAGCACTAAAGATGTGCAGAACAAGACTTGGAAAACATTTTTCTTTAATTGAACAGATGAAACATCCCCAACTTTGACAAAAACAGCTGGTCAACAAATGAAATAACCACTTGTGTTGAAAAAATAAATATAAACAAGAACTAAAAAGGAGGATTACTAACATCTGAACTCTGGATTATGCTGATTGCTGACTTTGACTTGTTAATTTGTCCACTGAGTTTCATTGAGGTAGTGTGTTTGTTTTGGTCTCAGGTGGCTGAACAACTCATAAATCCATTCGGTGAAGATGATGATGACTTTGAAACCAACTGGCTTGTGGACCGCAATTTGCAGGTGTGAATCTAAACCAAACTATTTGCTAACTGATCCTAGACAGCGAGTGTATTGTTTGAGTCAATGTGGTTTTCACTGTGTCCCAGGTCTCATTGTTATCTGTGGATGAGATGTACGATAGCCTGCCTCTGGTTGAGAGGGATATGTACTGGAATGAGTCTGAACCTCAGCCGCCCTACACTACTGCCAGCGCGCTGAACACCGCAAACCCTCCTTCATGGGCTCAGCGCTGGATATCAGGTTTAATGATTTTTTTCTTTCTTTCTTTCTTTTTCTTTCTTCTTAATAAACTTGCTGAACATATGTCAAACCTTCTGTTTGGTCTTCAGTGTTCCTAAGGAGGAGATGGAGTTCCAGTCCAATCTGGAGCAGATCAAAGAAAATGAGGAAGCCAACTACTCCACTCCTCTGCTTGGAGGGCTTGGTCGTCTTCTCGGTGTCCACTCCCCAAACTTCCCTCGCTCCTCCCGGGTGTCACTTCTCCGCCGTCGCCCTGGAGCTCCACTAAGCCGCTTTCCCCTTTACTTGCACACAGAGGCACCTTTGACTCAAGGTCAAGCCTGCCAGGAGGGAGATCCTGACTACGCCTTTTCCACCACACCCTTGTACGAAAGACCAGGTTTCTATAGCTGCCCACAAACCCCAATTCACTGCATTCCTCCTGCGGTGCCCCGTCCTCGACCTGCTAGGAGAACCCAAAATGACTTGGATCACAGCTGCAGTTCTCTAGCCCCTCCAACTGTGGGCTCCCAGATGCTGCCTCCCGACACCCCTAACCACATCCCCCCTCCGCCATCCTCTGCTTTCCCCTGGCTGAGTGAGGATGGGGATACGCAGAGTGCACCTACCTTCTCCTTCCCCGACCCTCCACCTGAACTATGCCCGATATCTAAACTCAGACTGGGACACGGCCTGCTATCTCGCCGCCCTCCCCCTCCTCGCCTCACCCTGGACACCCTACCATCTGCTGACATTCAGCCTGGACCAGCAAGTGGCCGGGCTGCGGGAGGCGGAGGAGAAAGGGTGTTCTCGTTCACTCCGCCCTCTCGCACAACGGCAGCAAATCCCGGTAATCCCAACAGCAGCTCTAGCAGCATTAATGTAACAAGCACCAACAGCGCAGGCACGACGGGAAGTCTTTGCAACGGCACAGGTCACGGTAATTTTAGTAACCACGGGAACTTCAGCGGCAACATGAGGGCAAGCAACGGGGGCACCAACGGTGGGTTGAGCAATAACATGAACACAGTTTCCACTTCAGCGCCATCGCAGCAAGAAACCAATCAGCAAAACTCGCCCAACGATTCAGGAATCTCACTTGCCGAAGGAGACCTGCTGGGCGTTCTGGTGGATGGTGGGGTGAACAAGGCAGCAGGAGGGAGGGAGCAGGACTAAGAAAAGAAGGTGTGACTCACTGTTTTTTTTTTTAAGCACATGTGCCAAATATCTCATAAAAACAGGCACTGGACTGTATCAGCTGGAGCCACTAAAAATTATTTACTTTCCAATGAACTCTCAAAGAAGAATTAACCTACTTGTAATATTTTTTAAAAAAGGACCTTATGAGATTTGACCCTCAGTGCATTATGGAAAAATACTTTCCAGTTTCATCAGTGGCAGCCAAAATGTGTATATTCTTCATCTGTGGTAGTCTTTGCATCAGTGTCTTTATTAATAAATATTATATATTATTCTTCTTTTGACACTATTAAAGTTTTTTTCCAAATAAAATGAAAAACTTTAATTTATTTGTACATTACAACTTTATTGTTTTATTTTACAAGCATACTGAATCTACAATTTGACTTAACATCTGCAGAAGGAAGCAATCAGTCCAAATAAAATACAATGAGAAAACATTTTCACAGGTCTCACTGCTTATGCATGTTAATGTTTATTTAACTGTCAAAAATAAAACAAGCTGAAAGATTTTATGAGACATTAAAAAAATGACATAAATGTACAATGTTATTCATAATTATGGATGGTAGAGCTAGCTTGTCTGCTCCAATGGACCTGGCATGTTAAAAAATGGTGTATATTTGAGAGATAGGGAATTGTATTCTCAGCTGTGAACTATCAGTGTTCTGTTTCAAGTATGCTTCCTTCAGGATTTGATAAATGGGCAAATGGCTTTTTCCACCATTAAAAGTGCATTTAGCTGCAATTTCAGCTTTCTGAGCTATCTCATCGCACTGCCCTACATCATGCTCTTGAGGTGGCTCGTCTGTTTAAGTCAGATGTAGTGGCAGTGGAGTTTCATTGATTGGACAAAGCAGAAGGCGTCTCACAGTGAGATACAGAGCTCAGTTTTCGGAGAACTAGAGTTGTGCTAGTAACCAAAGGTTTCTTAAAATAAAGACAAATGGAAAACAACACACACACACACACACACACACACACACACGCTATAAAATAATAAATATAATTAAATTAACCAGTGTTTTAGTATTGTTACATATTGTAACAAGAATATATTGGAGTGGTCTATAAACATGGTTCTTGGCTTTTATGTGTGGATGGTGGTTAAACTATGAGAAATATTCTGTGAAAAAAAGAAAAAGAATAAAATAACTGAATAGGCCAGAAAAACCTTATTGCGAATAATACCGTGGTAGCTTTATCAGTACACAGAAGCCTGGGGCTTCAGCTGGACAAAATACCTCAGCCTGAGTGTGTCATTTTTGGGAGGTGTAGCTTAATGCCAACATGGTGCCACACTACCTGAAGAGGAGCTTGAAAAGCCAAAAAATGCACCAAGATGGTTGGACTTAAGTGCTAAATAAGAGCTAATGAAGTGATGACACACATGGTAGGTCCAACTCTGTCCAAAGTGCCTTTACCTTACTTTACAGTCACAAAATTGTAAACACCACCGGTATAACAGATAACAAAGCAGAATTTCTCTTTGCTTTTTAAATTCTCAAACAAAAAAGGTTGATTAACAATTTTTCAACGCATGTAATTTAAATTATTGCAGCCTAAAACGTTTCAGTGCCACGGTCCAATCTTCCTAAACCTGACATGTAAGGAAACCTGAATGCATAACTAGCATGATTTAAAGGCCTGCTTAGTCTTTTTTTTTTTTTTTTTTTTTTACACACTGCACGTAGTGTGAGGTGAGGGTTACACAACTCCAGTCTGCGTTACAGCCTCTGCTAACAGCTAATGAACACAAATAAAGCAGCATTCTTTAATAACATATGCAGTATATACTGTATTTGGCAGACATGCAGCAGAATTACCCATGATCACATGTGCCTCAATTTAACTGCCCTCTTCAGCCATGGTGTGTTTGTCAAAGAGGTACTCAGCCATGCCGCTCTGAGGTGCTCCCATCCGGCGTAGGTTTGAGGTCCAGTCGGCGAGCTGTTTGATGGATTTTACCTGCTCGTCCAGAAAATGTGTTTCTATGAAGTCGCACATCTGCGGGGGACGGAAAAAGACAATATGCTGCATCTTACTAGATAGTCATATCCGAACAGCGGAGACTGTACATCCTCCATGCCTGCTTCTTACATGAGGGTCGTTGTGTTCAGTGGCCATTTTCTGCAGGTCCAGCAGGGATTGGTTTACATTTTTCTCCAGCTGCAGGGCACACTCCAAGGCCTCCACGCCACTCCCCCACTCATCTCTATCCGGTTTCTAACGCATTAATATTTCAAGAAGATTCAGTACCGATCAGATTCATGTAAAATTATTCATATTAAAGCAACCTGAAGCACTGCAGTCCATCCATTTTTATTATTAAAAAACATTGTAAAGCCTTGATTAATAAAAAGACTGTTTTGTTTTTTGTTTTTTAATATAAAAAGACATGAATTTGGCTTTTTTTTTTTAACTCATTAGTGAAAATATCCTTACATACCCTGATGTCTTGCAGAAATATTTTGCCTCCCCGCTTGTTCTGGAAGGTCATCAGCTTCTCTGCATGCACAACCTCTTCTTTGGACTGATTGTGAAAAAACTTTGCAAAATTTGGCAGGCATTTATCATCCCTTTCAAAATAGTATGCCTAAAAGTCAGGAGAGTAAACAAAAATAAACAAACAAAAAGATTAAAACACTCTTTTTAATGCCTTTGAAATAACACAGGGCTGTGATACATGACACCACTGACTCAGAAACATTTCTTACCATAGAGAGATAAACATAAGAGGCATACAGCTCCAAATTTATCTGTCTATTAATGGCAGCCTCGCAGTCATGGTGGAAGTTTTGACGGATCTGAGAAGTCATTTCTGGAAAGATCATAACAATAAATGCTGATCAAATGTAAGGCTGTTCATAACTGGAGAAGCAGATTATTCAGGCAGTTAATTGCAGTATGTTGCATTTTAAAAAAGTATCTAGCCATCAATACTGAGACACTGAGAATTTACACTTCACGTGTTTGTTTGCCTGCATCAAACTAAACACATCTACTTTTAAAACATCTGAAAAATGTCCCTACATATAAATAATCGAGTGGACACTACAACGTCATCTGTATTCACATTAATCCAGACAAATGACCTTGGGACTAAAAAAGGCAAACACCAGAGCAGCTGTTGGTCAAAGTTAATAGTAAAGTAGCAGACAACTTCTGTCTTAAATTTGCACCTAGTTAATACAGAATCCGTGTTTCGTGACACTGAACTTGTGATAAGACGAGACACAAACATTGTTTACCAGCACACGCAAAGAAACCACAGCGTTCAAGCCTGCAGCTACTACCAAATAACGGGCTACCACCCGCGTTGTTTTATTTGTTGTTCTTGTTGGCCGTGGTGTACCTGCGTATACTAAGCATTACGGTAAGTGCTGCTTTTAACATAAAAGCTGCCTCTCGGTGTCTCCCGCACAATAACAGTCTGGTGTTGAATTGAAATATTAAAACTCTTAATCGATCTCGTTACACGCAAGTCACTAAGTTTGAAGGGAGTATATATATATTCCAATTCCCCAGAAGCGCTTTTATCGTTAAGATATTTCTTACACTACCGTAATGCTTAGTATAAATACATGAAAAACAACGCTGGTTGCTTGCGTGACCCAAGCGGAGGCTGGCTTAACAGCTATGAGGAACGTTAGGTTATGGCAGTGGCATGAATAAGGCCAACTTGGTGGCTAAATTATATCAAAATTTAAGCTTCGTGCACCTTGCAGGCATCGAAGCCCACGCTAACTGAACAACAGTTGCGTTGCCAAATACATTCAGCGCAGCTAATCGCTGCTAGCAACCAAATCTTAGTCAGCTGATCTCACAAACAACAGGACAGGTTGCACATTTAAACCCAGCTGCGGAGGAAGCGGTTATATAAACCAACCTTCTTCGACGATTTCACACGTTTCGCTAAACTTATCGCTGATAGTTGCGCTTGCTTGCGACAATAAATTTCCAACTAAGGACTTAACTCGCCGTTTTGCCGACGCGCAAACGCACTTACGTGACTGCAACGCTGTTGACGTTAGCCGTTAAAGGTGCGGAATGGACACGTTAAAATTAAAAGCTTTTGTGGCTATGTGGACAGCAAACAAACCAGTGTGCCAGCGGCTGCATTAGTCTGAAATAATGTTTAATCATTGTGCATTGTTTTTTTTATGTTTAAATTAAAGACTGACACATTCCCCAAAAATTAAACACTGAAGATTCAAACTATGAAAATATTCATAACAAAAACAAGTAAATCTTGTAGATCGTGGGACCTGTCTTGTCTTTCATGCATTGCGTATTCCGTAGACCAAAGGTAAAACACACTACAATGGAAACTGGTACATATTTAATGCCGCCTTTTAATTTCGATTTCTTTTATTATGCTGTCTGACAGTAGAGATGTCAGTCTAATTTTACAGAATCTCCCCGCTCTCTCTCAGGATAAAAACATTTATTTACAGTTCATCCTTGTAATGTTAATATAAGAAAAAGAAATGCAATTGCAACAGGACATGTTTTTTCTACGCGATGAAGAAAATTGCTTCTGTAGTAAATAAATGAAATCTGTCAGCATGACTCTTTAGGCATAAATTCTAAGAAATAAACATTTAAAAGCATTCAAGCTTATAGCTACTGTTCTTTATCAGGAGCTACAAAGACAAAGTCCAAAATGTAGGCCTTCCTTTACATTTACCAAAGCTGTCCAGTGGGTCCAATACTGGGCTCAAGACCTGTCTGACACCAATTTTAGGGATCAGTAAACTTTATAATAATAAATGCAGAGAATTCTCAGTTGTAGCCTGAAACTAAACGAAATTAAAAACCCAGATTTTAAACCAATTACAGAGTCTATAACTGAGAGGCTGCATGTGTGATCTAGATCGATGTAACTTAAGTCAAGCTAAATCTTACTTTAGTGAAATAATAATAATAATAATAATAATAATAATAATGGATTGGATTTATATAGCGCTTTTCAAGGCACCCAAAGCGCTTTACAATGCCACTATTCATTCACTCTCGCATTCACACACTGGTGGAGGCA